CTCGTCAATATTCTACGTTAATTTCATATTCTAATTATTGTCAATTCGAACTTCATGGGTTTTGTGATTCTAGCGAACGAGGCTATAGTTGTGTAATATATTTTCGTATTAAAGACGAAACAGATGCCGTTCAAGTATCATTTATTTGTTCCAAATCTAAAGTCGCACCTACCAAGAAACTTACTATCCCTCGCTTAGAGCTTTGTGGAGCCGTTCTGCTGACTAAATTAATTCTTTATGTTAAAACGAATTTTTGTAACCAAATTAGCTTTATAAAAATTCGCGCGTGGTGCGATTCTCAAATCGTACTGCATTGGATAAAGGGATGTCCCAATCGCTGGAAAACTTATGTCGCCCACAGGGTATCTTTCATTCAAGAAAATCTCTCTCCTGATAATTGGTCGTATGTGAATACTGCTATTAACCCCGCAGATATAGCCTCGCGAGGGGCTCTTCCTTCCCACTTCTTAACCTATAAATATTGGTTAACCGGTCCTGAATTTCTTTACGAAGATGAAAGTTCTTGGCCTACCTTCCCATCTTCTGCTAATGAGGTTACGCTTCCCAAAGAAGAACAACGTAAAATGATATTATTTTCAACATTACTCAATCATAACAATGAGAGTTTTGTAATTTCTATGCTTGAAAATTATTCTTCTTTGACTACTATTCAAAATATTTTAAGTTTCATCTTGCGCTTTATCTACAATTGTCAACACCCGCTTTCTAAACATTGTGGCATATTTTCCACCGACGAATTGTATTCGGCCCTTCTTGTTTTGGTAAAAACTACTCAATATACTCACTTTCAGGAAGAAATTGAGTCCAAACGTTTTTCTAAACCTCTACGTAAGTTGAATGTTTTTTTAGATGATAACAATATTCTTAGAGTGGGAGGTCGACTGCATAATGCATCTATATCTTATTCATCTAAGCACCCCATATTATTACCTAGACAAAGTCTATTAACTACACTCGTCATTCGCCACATTCATGAAAAGTATTTTCATGCTAGCTTTAGAAGTACTCACTTCTTACTAGCTCAACAGTTTTGGGTTCTATCCTCAAAACGAGCCATTAACTCAGTGATTTCGAAATGTTTACGCTGTTGGAAAACATCTCCTACCTCTTATCAACCCCCAATGGGAAATTTGCCGCTGTCTCGAGTGTCTGAGGTAAAACCTTTCGGTCGCTCCGCTGTTGATTTCGCAGGCCCATTTAATATAACTATTAGTCGTCACAGAGGAGTAAAAAGTTGCAAAGCTTACCTCTGCATTTTTGTCTGCTTGGCTACCAAAGCTGTACATTTGGAACTTGCCAGTGATTTATCTACACCAACATTTTTAGCCGCTCTACAAAGATTTATTGCAAGGCGTGGAAAAGTCTCACAGATATACAGTGATTGTGGCACAAATTTTATGGGTGCAAAACGCGAATTGCTTTCTCTTATGGAACAGGCCAGCGCAAGTGAAACTATTCAATGGTTTCCTAGCCCCGCCGGAGCTCCTCACTTTAATGGTCTAGCCGAAGCTGGCGTTAAAAGTGTTAAAACTCACCTTCGCCGCGTCGTAGGTGATCAAATTCTCACATTTGAGGAATTCTATACAGTTCTGACACTTATAGAATCCATATTAAATTCTAGACCACTAGTTGCCATATCTAATGATGTCGACGATATCAACGCCTTAACGCCCGGTCATTTCTTGACCATGGAACCTTTAACCGCATTTCCCGTTCCCAGTTTCGAACACGTCCCCCTAAATCGCCTTTCTAGGTGGCAATTGTTACAGCGCATCCATCAAGATATTTGGCGTCGCTGGCATAAAGAATATTTGCATACCCTACAGCAGCGAGCCAAATGGTTAGACCCTGCTAACACCCCCAAACTTGGTACTTTAGTTTTGGTTAAAACCGATAATTTACCTCCTAATAAATGGTTGTTAGGCCGTGTTACTCAACTGCATTTTGGTAATAATAACATAGCCAGAGTAGCTACGGTAAAAACACAAAATTTTATTTTAAAACGGCCATTGGTAAAACTGTGTCCACTACCTAATAATTAATTTTTTTTTTTTATATGCTACCTGTAGTATTTTATAATTGTTTTTTTGGTTTAATTCTATTATTTGAACTTTCCTTTTTTTTGCTTTAATATTTAGTTTTTATTTTGGGGAATTGTCTAATCAGTTTAAAAATGTATTATTTACATTTTTTCGGGGCAGGAAATGTTCCAGAATGAATTAATTCCTATTTTATTATTTAAATATTCGCGCTTTGTCTCAAATCGCTTACTTAAAACTTTGGCCCACACATGCGCTTCGTCTGACTGTAAGACAAGTGAAACGCCGTTGGACGAAGAGTACTACAGAAATTGCCGCGACGAACGCTTTGTGGTGTGTATGTGCCGTTAAATCCGCTATTATAAATCCTGTATAATAAACGTTGTTATATAAATTGTGTAACCGGGCCCGGTCTTGGCTACTGGACTAATATTACCACCTACTTCATCCGACGAACCATATGATGCAGCACAGAAGGTAAGCGCGTTTGAGACACGTTTATCTTATTTTTTTCGACTGTTACAATCAGCCCTTTTTTTTACGTAATATTCCAATCATTCTATTACAACCATAAATAGTCAAAACGGATTCAAGGGACCTCAAAACGTAAAAATCCGTCGAAAACTCGAGGTCGAAAAAAAATCATGATTCCTATACTTTCCTTATCTGTATACAGATAGGACAGTAAAGTAAAAATGAGATATAAGAGTTTTATTATTTTTTATGTACATTTATTTACGATTTATCATCATTTTAGAGAATAATATAACAATATTAATTTAAATTTGGCAATCTACCCAAATGAATTTAAAAATAAAGAAAACTTTATGCATTTATATTTCTATACTCAATGATCGAGGGAGCGCTAGCGCATGGGCTATTTTGAGGATGTTTTGTACTTGTTTTAATAGATGACGCGACAGGATTACCTCCAATGAAAGGTCTATAAGGCTGTTTTACTAGGCTTTCTAAATATAATGGTGTAACTTATATTTTGCCTACCTATCCATCCTGTAGTTTGTGAAATAGTATATATTACATTACGAATGTAAAAAATTATTTTTGCACAAGTGATGTACAATATTTTTCCTACGACCACAAAATAATTTTATTAAAAAGTGTAAAACCAGGAAATCTGGCTATAAAGGTTCAATCAAGAGGTGGCTGGTTTTGGATTTGTTTTTTATATGCCTTATTGAATCATTTTTAAAGTGTTTTACCGCTGGTGTCTTGTGGACATTAAAAAGATTGAGATTACAAACACTTTCATGAGATGATAACTGTAAAATAACATTAGGTACAAAAAAAATATTGGAATACAATTTTTTTTTTTCATTAGTTTATTTTATTTTAAATATAACAAATAATAAGATAAACAACCGTGAACAAGAACTTTTTTATTATTAAAGATGACTACCTACTTATCTACTTACAATTTTTTTCTGAACAGTAATCAAAATAGTACAAAATAAATAGCGGAAAAATTAAATGTAGGGGTTATAAAGGGTGTTTCAATAGGAGCGCAAGATTTGAACGTTTAATAAAACATGTTTTTTGTAACAAAGGATTTAAATATTTATTGTATTATAACGTAGACATTTGCGAATTATGTATGTAACAACACATCTGGTAGTAAATAGTTGGCACATGCGTACTCTTTTTTTTAAACACTCTAAATTTGGCCTTCAATGCTCGCGGGTTTTTTGACATAAACCTGTGACTTCAGATACCCCAGAGCCAAAAGTATAAAAGGTCCAAAGGTACCAATCCTAAGAGCGTAGCAGCCAATTCATGTTACCAAATCAACGGCTATATGGTAAAAGTGCCACCGTCCTGCTGGAACCATGTTTACTAACTACCATATGTCTCCTATTGACCTGGCAACCTGGCATGCCATACTCATTTGATATCATGACAGCCAATCGGAGCACAACTCAAATCTTGCACTGTTATTGAAACACCCTTTATTATGATAAATAAAATGTATTTAAAATAAATAAACAATTGTCGTATTTTTTACAATTTTAATATTATTCCAAAATAAAGAAGAGCTTCTGTAATAAATTGAATCCTCTTCGCGACATGCAAAGTTGACAAAGTTGAGCACTATATGAACTGAGCCAGCAAGCTTATGTCACAGGAATTATATCAAATTGGATAATGTATATTAACAAAAAAAAAAATAAAGAAGTTACTTTAAAATATTTTAATTATAAAATAAATAGGATCTGGGTATAAAAAATCAATGTTAACAATTTATTCATCAATTCGATTTTACTGCTAAAATGGATTACGTAGGTCAAAATAGAAATTATACTTCTAACATATTTGACAGCTGAAAGTAGATTCATATTCACACAACGGCGGAAAGTAGATTATTATCCAAACGTGCGTGATATAGGGCACTTCCCCTATAGTGCGATATGTGATATCCCATACAGCAAAAACATATTTCAGAAATATTTCAAAAATATTACATTTAAATATTAGTAATGTTGTATAAATATTACGAAACATTTCTGAAATGTGCCTGAAACGTAAAATGTCCTGTAAATATATTTCACGCAACAGTAATATAATTTCTAAAATAAAAATTTGAAATCTTTTAGAAATATTAAATAGTAATATTTCAGAAAAAGACATTTATAAATATACATGTTTATTTAAAATACACAAAACTTAAACATTGATTCTTAAACAAACAAATAAATAATTTTTAAACATTATTTCATAAAATTCTTTAATTTAGAAATATAGACATTAATAAATCACAAAAATGTTTAAAACAACTTTTTGTTAGTGACAAAAGTGACAAATTTTCACAAATCCTAACTTATTAATCGGACAACTAGTTGGCGAGTATACACTCCTACTCCTGTGCTCTCGGTCTGTTTCACGAGGACACGACGAGTGGAGTTACGAGAACTCATTCGGCACTTGATCGTTGAGACGATGAAACATCGGTTTTCATTTCGTTCTTTTATTATTTAAAGTTCATTCAATATTTTCTTGTTCAATGTTGCCGTGTATATCGTTGACTAGTTTTACTCGCTCGGCGAAAATGTTTATTTACTTACGATTTACTTGTTACGAAAATTATAATAATAAATAAATCAAAAAGTGTGTTTTATTCGCGAAAAATGAACGATGGCAGTGATGGTTTCCAATATAAGCGGACATATACAAAACCAGTTGACTAGATCTTTAGAACGAATATTGGAAGAGGCGAACCAAAGCGGGGAACTGAAGTTGAGCAACAGAAAGCTGAAGGATTTTCCAAAAACCAATGAAAAATATAATTTAAGTGATACAGTAATTGCAGGTAGGATTGTCGTTTCTAGAAAATGATTTTTTATTATTTTTTCTGAGTATTATTACTTCGAACATGATACATCGACTGAATATTAAAAAGTTTTCATTATTAGTATTCTGTATCACGCACACGTTTCTATCTTTGTGTGTGGTTTCTTTTGATTTAACAGGAAGCCTCATCAAGGAGATAAAATGAATACCACTTTTTATTTCAACTTATTTAATTTTTATATTTTAATTGTCCCGTCTTGGAGAGGTTTGGTTTGTTTATTTTTGTCACGCTTGTTGTGGTTTCTGTTTACACTGTCTTGGTTTATCTTTATTCCTAAATATACATTACATAAAACTGTAAGCAAGGCACTATCTCAGAAGACAAATTTATTTTCTTAAGAATTAGTAGGTAAGAAGTCTTATTAAAAGGCTGTTGGTTGTAACGATTTAAATTTTATCAGGTAGGTAACAAAACAAATACCTACCTGCCTAGGAGGTTATAATTAAATATTTAAATTAGCTAGTTATTACGTAAATATTCATTTTTAACATCATTGAAAATAAGAAAGATTTAAAAGAAGGTACCACCTACCTACCTGTCTGCTTTTTACAACTGTCAAAAAACGCTATTTGCAATTTTTTACACTAAACAAAAAATTACAGAGAGATAAAAACTTTTGTGTGTATACCTACTTAATTGATTGAAAATTCATTATACATAATAAATAATTATGGAATTATTTAGAACAATTATTTCTGAGGAAAATTATTATCAACATCTACAGGGTTGTACAATTAAAAAAAAGTTGTGGGCGGTTTTCTAGAGGTTGTAAAGTTTTGAAGGCAAGGCCTTAGACCTTATTGGTCAAGAAAAAAACAATAATACATATACTTTTAGGTATCAATATTAGTAAACCTAAAATTCTATATTTTGTGCAAATGAACAATAGGATACAAAATATCCATCAACCCAATCCTTAAAAAGATAAATAAAAATAAAAGTAGAGGTTAGTAGAATATCAACTTATATTTTATTTCTATTATTTACAAGATTGCATTCATGTTAAAGTAGAATTATGATAAATAAAAACATGAGTAAATAAATGGCTAATGGTTTGTTTTTATTTAACAATATGATGTCACATTAATACACTGTTATAGTAACAATATACAGGGTAGTCACAAAAAGGGAGGTTATAAATAGGTAATAAAATATTCTGGAGTCAAAAAATATTAGATTTAACCTCGGATTTAACTTAACTATATAGAAATTCTATACAAAAAAAATGAATAATATTTTTTTTTTAAATTCATACCAAAGGTACCAAAAAAATGAATTAGATCATTAGGTCTTTATTTAAAGGAAGCTTTTAATAAAGACCTAATGATCTAATTATTTTTTTTTCATCTTCTAATATCTAAATGAAACGGTTTTTTGCTTCTGTAAAATTATTACTTATGGAGTTAGAAGGTAAGGATATAATTTTTAGTTTTTGTAAAAAATAATTATATTAACTTAAGCGTGCAGTGTTTTTGCAATTTTTTCTTGCAAAGTTCTACTTTTAAAAAGACTATATGTCTATTTTTTAACAGTTTCAGAGTTATTGGAAAAATCGATTTTTAAAAGGTTATAAGTTTTTTGTATCTACAATACCCCTAATTTAATTGATGTCATCACTTGGCTAAAATTAGCATAATCCCAAAGCTGTTTGAAAGCATCATAACAGACTACTTAACTTATGACTGAAAGTCAATACAATTGAAGGTTGCCTTTGCTAACTTTATTTTGGAAGCTCTGGAAATGGGATGTCAGGTAGATGCCTTTTATATTGACTTTTCCTAGGCTTTCAATAGAGTGAATCATGAATTATTGTTTATTCATAAACTAAGTAAATTTTCTTGCAATGGATTAAAATCTATCTTCTTAATAGAACTCAAATAGTAAAAGTAAAACGTCACTATTCTCATCATTACTGTGGTACTTCTGGAGTTCTCCTAGGTTCCCATCTGGGAATATGTCAATGATGTGTGTGTATGTATTTCTGTTTGGCACAGTACCTATCTAATTACTTTTTACAGATGACCTAAAGTATTTCCAAATTGTCAACAACTTTGGAAATTCTATTGATTTACAGTCTGTTATTAATAATTTATCCAATTGGTGCAAATAGAATGGCATGGATTTAAATGTAGGAAAAATTGTACATTATTCAGTTCCATCGTTCTCAACAGTCTATTATATTTGACTACACAATCAATGGTCAACTTTAGGATAGTGTTAAACAAATTAAAGATCTTGGTGTTATTTTTGACACAACTCTATCTCTTCAGTTATAAGTAAATCTATGAAAATGTTAGGATTTATTAAAAAAACTCTTTATTGTACTTTAGTTAGGAGTCACCTCGATTATTGCTCTTCTACCTATATAGTCCCCACTTCATGTAACATACAAATTAAACATTGATTGTGTTCAGAACAATTTTCTTAGGTACATAGCCATTAAATTACAAACGTTTTATGATTATACTACAATGAAGCAGTTTTTAAACCAGAAGAAAACATAGAAACCTGGAAAGATATTGTTGTCCTGAAATTCTAGCGAAAATTATTCTTTTTGTTCCTACTCTTAATACCAGGGGCAATCATAAATATTTTATATTCTTTTTATAGATTTGATAGTACTTTTAAGTTTTAACAGTGTATTGCTCGGATACTTAGATTGGCAAATTCTCTGAATAATATTATATTTGATTCTTCTGCAAATAGCTTTATGCACAACATTCAAAATACACCAATGTAATTTTTAATAATTTTTAACAATTTATTGTAACTTAAAGGGGCTTGCTCATAAATAAATAAATAAAAGTAACATTAATAACTTTAGTAGTAACCCTAAAACAATTTGACTGACCTATTTGACAGAACTGATACTTAAAAGTTGTTATAAAAGTCACTAAGAACAGTCATTTTCTTTCAATTTCTTGTTTTGTTAGATCACGTGGGGTATAGGTATCCTTACATAGTTAGATCTAATTCATCTATTTTTGACTCCAGAAGAACTGGTATATGATCAACCTTTTTTGTTACTTTTCTGTAGATGAAGTACCCACAAGATCTGTAATCTATAATCTTGTGTCAATAATCAAAACAATATTTCTAAGAAAATTAATGTTACCGATTTAAAATTACCTACTTATTTACTTCCTTGGGATTGTGATATTGGTACTAAAATACCCACATAAATAAATATTTGAATTAACGATTATAATCAAGGAATTTGTTTTATAAAATTTCAAACTCCGAAATTCCATGGATTAATATTGAGTCATCTGATTAGATAATGTGATGGAAATTAATTTTAAAATACTTGTATGTATAATATACCTACAAAAAATGTTTACTTTTTATTATTTCTGCATTTTACCCTAAAACGTAATTCTAATTTTTAAATAACTTTTCATTAATAATTTGTTTTGTATCTTAAAAAATACCTATAAATATATTTTCAACACTAATATTCCTTAGAATGAATTGAACAAAGTGTAATATTAACTTGCACATATCCGGCAAAGACCGCTGTCGCTTATCGCGCAAAAATCTGTGTCTAAAGTATGTAGTGGGAAGAGCAGAAGTCGAACTTGTATGGATGCTTGCTGACAACAGTTTCTCTTGTTATTTGCATGTTCCTATTATATCTTGTTTAACTCCTTGTAAGATATAATATCGGTGTTGAAAATTCTATACCTATATATAATGTCCAACTAATTTTTTTTGTCATTTACGCCTTTTAAGGTGTCCATTCTAAGTTTAAATTAATAAAACTTTTTTATAAAAAATTTAAATTTTTTATCTATTTGCGTTTAAATATAATTATTAAGAAAATACGTTTTATAAAGTAAAAACAAAATTTAAGTATGTCAATAATTTTTTTTGAGATGTTACAAACGAAAAGTTCTATAAAAGAATACAAGATCAATAATTATAAAAAAGGTTATAGCCATCTCTCCAGTTGTAGGTTCTATAAGAGATCAATATGTAGGGTGTAATTGAAATATATGTACATACTAAAACCAGCAGACTGTTTATAAACGAAGGGGACTATATTAATAGTAAAAAGTGATCCACAAAAATGTTTCTAAAGTAGGCCATGACTGACAAAGACGGAGATACGAGTTATGTCCGTGATAACTACGCGCGGCTCTGAATTAAATTGAAAGCGACAATTAAAAAGATGAAAAAGAATCATACGTTCGACATACGGGAATTTTTTCACTATAGAAACATTTTTTGTGGATCACTCCTTATAGTTTTTCTCTTTTACAACCTGCTTTTTTTTCACAAGCTAAAACTTATGTACCTGTTTTTTACCTTTGTTAACAGTCTTTTCACAAGTTTCAGCAAATGATACCTTTGAAAACCAATATTAAACTGAATTATAAATGATTGTTCACTGGTTCCTAGAATAATTATACATAAATAGCTGCTAATAATATAAAGGGATTCATAAATCGAACAGCATAGGCGGATATAGTTTATTTTTTCAAGGGTTGCTAACTTTTCTATATATAAGATCTACTTTTTATCTTAAAATTGTGTCGCAATCGACTTGTCATAGGAAAAAAGGGGTGTGAAATGCATACTATGTTTATACACCTTTTTGAAAAATGAATAAAGGTAGGATTGCTTAAAAAACTGAAGTATTTTTGGCGAGCTTGTAAACAAAAAGGTCCTGACGGTATATTTTTATAAACCAGGTCCTTTTTAAGAACTTGTGCTTTAAAAAAGGGTATTAGTCTAAGATCCGAAGTAAGGTCGACCTTCACCCATCTGTTTAATGGATGAAAGTTTCTTTTTATTACATAAAATATATTTATAAATATACCGCAAATGGGTTGCCTAAGAAAATATGGTTCAGACTATTTTTTTTTTTAAAGTAAAAAAAAAACGACACCCTGTAAAGTATTCCCCAGATGCTTCAACTATGCCCAAACTTTAGTCAGCTCACCGCAGGATGGATT